CGTTTCTCCGGCAACTTGCACGACTTTCCAAGCCTGTTTCTCTGTACTGTTCCAAGACAATAAATACCTTCGTTGGTCAAGTAATGTACCAGAGGAATATTCGTATAAAAATTGTCAAAATAAATTATATGATTGACATGCCTTGGTACTGGTCGTAGCAATCGAATAACTGTATTCGACACAGCTCCGAGGTCTGGTTCGCCAGGTAAACGGTCCATGTCCTTAGCTCCCGAGTAAATCTCAAAACTGTAGGCATAACCAGACAGAGAGCATAACACGTATAATTTGAATCCCCACTTATGGGGCTTGTTGGGTAAATATTGTTTCATAAAATGTTTCATTTTTGTGGAACACATCTGCTCGTCTAGTGATAGACGATGCTCAAATGGTAAAGTAATAAATTTCTTGTTCAAATAGTCTATCACTGGTCTTACTTTATGCAGTCGGTCGTGCTGGGGGTGATCAATGGGCAAATGTTTAGAGTCGTCATTCATGTGAAAAATTTCTCTAATTTTATCAAATCTGTTGCGATTCATTGTTTGTACTATGGGTTCAAACTTTGTAATGTTTGATCAGTATGACCGGACACTAGGATAATGATATACACTAGTAAAAATAAGAATTCCAATAAATTTACGTAATTCTAAGACAGTTACAGGTTCTGTAAAGTTGGGATTCTTTTGGAAGGCATATTTATTTGACTCGTCCACTAGAAATCTCAAAATGTCTTCACCGAAAAAATAAGAAAAAAACTGAAATGGAGTGTCTAAGTTCATAATTTCTTGTGAATACTCAGTATTTCCAGCAAACTGGAAAGCATTTTGGACTAAATCCATATTTTTTACTCTCCACACTAAGTTTCTAGAGTTGAAAGGTGCAGTTTGCAGGTTGTTCTGGCTGCTGGTTGTAGGAGTTGGGTTTCGTTCAACAGTCTCTAAATTATGTTGCATGTCGGTATCTACGTTTGCTGCAGGCGGATCTGCATCCAAGTTTGGGTCAGTGGGAAAATTACCTACATCCTCTTCATCATCTAGCTCCATCAGACGATCTCTTTGGCTCGAATAATAGTCTATGTCATCTTCATTGTCGGTGGAATCGTCTTCCGAAATTTCACCATTTTCTAACCGCTTCAATATGTTCTCAATCTCTTCTGGCCGCATTTTGGATAAATTTCTATAATAAATAAAAACAAAAGTAATCCCCACACCAAGCTATGCAGAAAAAATATGAAACGAAAGTTCAAAAAGTTTTATAGCTAAAGAGTTAGTAGGTAGGTTTTATGTAGGGCGGAATGCCTGAAGTATCAATATTGATACCAAAAAAAAAAGCACTAATTTCTTCAAGTAAAACATGCATTTGCTAAAAATAATTATATCATATCGAAAATAATGTATTCACTTACCTCAAAAGTATTTATATTCTTCAGAAAAAGAAAATATATCAAATTTATATTCAACAAAACTTTTAGTAAAATGTGTTTACTTGTTCACTTTGCCGCGCAAGTAATATGTCACAGATAAAATAAAACAATAATGACATTTGTTTTTTTTTAATTTCGTTGGATAGAATACTATACAACAGTAAAATACATACAGCCAACATATAAAAAAAAACTAATAGTAATGTGAATATTCGGTTTAAAATATTAGTATCAAAATTGAAATTCTAGGTTATTAAGGGTTAAAAAAATCCCTATCCCATTTACACGCACCCATAAAGCTTTACTTTATTATCAATACTACTATCTGATTTAAAAAATAATTTGAAATTAATGCTTTTCTAAAATTATTTCATTATTTTAGAAAAGCATTATTTTAATTTTTTTCTTGTGTAACGTCTAATCAGTATCTATATAAATCAATATGTAAATGTTTGTTTGTTGGAATTCTAAATCTCCCAAAAGCGCTTCATAAATTACTGTAAAATTTTATAAAAAAAAGAATATATATACATATATACAACATATTACTGGCAAGTCCGAAAATCGCTGCATACAGGGCTAAACATTTTGGCACACCGGGATCACTCCCCGAAGTTGCTTGCAAATATCAAAGGGCTATTGAACTGTTTTGGGGAGATTTCATAGCTTGAATAGTCATACTCCTGCCCACACGCAAAATACGCGGTTAGACGTGGAGTTACGACGTAATCCAATTTAATCTAATCTAAGTAAAATCTGAAAAATGCTAAGAGTCAATAAAAGGCAACATAGTGTCTTTATAGTCAGCAGACTAATTTTTAAATTGCACAAGCTTATTATGAGGGTCACTAATCTACATGTAAGAAATGCCGAGGCTTTATTGGATGCATTAATAGCATATACAATTGGAACTGGTGAATCTGCAAATCTGTCGGTGAATGTGGCTATAGGAGGTAAAGATGTAACTGTTTACCAGTATGTCTAGTCTATAGAAGAAGAATACAAAATAGGATACATGCAGACTGTAAATAGATTGAACTTCATACTTGGAGACTATCTATAACCATAAGAGACAAGATTCCATAAGATAACTAACTTATAGTGATAAAGCACTGGTCAAAGCAATCAACAAGATGCATTTTACACAAATCTAAGCCGAGTATACAGGTATTATAGCTCTGTCCCCATAACCATTTTCTGTATTAGTCAATAGCAAATGTTAATTTAATAGTCCTTGTTCAATAGTAAAAATATTAATAGATTAAATTAAAAAACAGCTTCAAAAAATATGTATGTTATCAATATATGGTACAGACGTTGAGTCCTGGCTAGTCCAAATGTCATGTGAATATTTTGGAATCACATGGCGGTGTGATACGACGAGCACGGGGCGGTGGTCTAGGCTAGAGATGTATCTAACGTGAACACAAGTATGGGCGGCGGTAGTCACTTAATTTCAGGTGTGCCGCATGCTCATTTGCCCCCTCTTCTATATATAAAAAAAAAAACACACAAGCAATCCTTTATACAATTAAACAGCGTAATCAGTTAGTTTCATTTAAAATTAACTGAATGTAGTGTATATAAGATATTTAACAAAATACATATCTATTATAATGACTACCAAATTAATATTTATCATTAATAAATGAGTTTATGCTATTCTTGAAAAAAATGTGTTACGATAAATAATTTTTCTAGATTTTCAGTAATCTACTAATGACTACTTTAGTCTGACAAAAATAAAACCTTGTTATAAAATTGAAGAGAAATTTGAATAAAAAATTTTGTTGTGGTTTTTCTTAATTTTTTAGTTGTTGTTATTATTTTGGTTAAGTTTGATTTTGAAACATTGTTTTCAATTTTATTTTTATTATTTGTAAGCGTCAGTGGGCACTATATTTACTAAACATGCCAAAGCGTAGTTTTGATTGAACTTTGTAAAATAATATGTAATAATGCCTTATGGCATTAAGTCTGCCTTATGTACCACCACCACATAATTTACACTTTAATGCACCTTGCATTAGTGTAAATTAAGAAATAAAACTTCAGTTTGTGATTAAAAAATCTGCTTTAGTATGTATTTGTATTTTCTTATAATATTTTTATTTTCTTCCGTGCATACATTTGTCTGGCAATAAGTTTTATTCATTATTAAGAGTGGCCACGGCTCATCATCCGTATTATAACTGAATTAAATATATTGGTTAGTGTAGCTCAAAATATATTGTGTGACTAGCTGTAGCCGGCCACCACTAGTTTAAAAAAATATTTTCAAAAAGTATACAATGCAACAATGTATAAAAAAAAAATTATACCTAGAAATAGAGCTACAGACATGGACACTGGAAAATAAAAACTTATATTGTTATTAGATATATATATATATATATATATATATATATATATATATATATATATATATATATATATACATACTATTTTATATATAAATATATAATATAACATTTTAAAGGAATTTACGAAGCGCTTTTGGAGATTTAGAATTCCAACAAACAAACATTTACATGTTGATTTATGTAGATACATACAAAGTAAAGCTATATGACGAGAAATATAAATCCACAACAGAATCAATAGCCAAGTACAACTTTAATGGGTTTAACCACCTTCGCTCTGACAGCGCGCAACATGGAATTATACTCCCGTTTACCGCTCGGGGGCCAACCTTAATGGCAGGAAAATTTGTAAGTTAGAAAATTTTTTTGCTATATTGCAAATTTTGCTATATTTTCACTTTGAGACTGCAATATTTATGGACTTGTAAAACTCTACAGGATTTCTTGTTTGAATGTATAAACTATCGAATAAACGTATTATTTTTGGTTGCTAGAAATTGTAATAAAATACACCTTTTTTTTTTAAATTACCCTGTATAGCATAGTAGTACCATATACTTCAATTTTAGTGACTTATTTGGCAGATGGATATGAGTGTTGTTAGAACTAACAAAGGTTCGGAATTTAATACAGAATTATTTAAAAATCAAGATACGCTAATTTAAACTGTACTTCATAGGCAGGAAGAACTTTTAGAATGCAAGATTGTTTGGGTACTGAATTACCCATGGCCATACCACATGGAACCATGAGGATAATAAACAAATAATATTATTAATCCGATCACATTTTTTAATGATTTACATTTAGATTTTTGTAATTTTGGATATATATTAATCTAAGAAAAGGTTTTATGATTCATACAACTTTTTAATAAATAGTATTGTTATTTTTATATTTTAAAACATAAATAACAAGTGGCCCGTTATGTTTTTTGGACATTTCTTATACTTAGTGCAAAGTTAGAATAGTTATAAAATTAGTGAGGGCAGAAGTAAAACACATAGGTTACTTCCTTTGTAAATACATAAATCAATAAAATATTATCTTAAATTTAATAATAAACGGAAAATTTACAGAGTTATAGTGATAATTATGATAACATTTTTGTTCAATTCGAAGATTTGATGGACTTAAAACAACTTCTACGACCATATGCGGTAATGCATGTGATCTACCGGAATCCAACCTCATGTATTAATAAAGTAAAAAATTACCATTTTGTGTTCTAACCGGTGCTCCAGAAAATCTGGTTCCTGCTACGGACAAAGGTGCGGCAAGTGTAGACATTTTTAAGAAAAGTTTCACACAAAATTCACATAAATTCGCTCGTCACACTTTTTTGATTCTGGAAGATCTTATTTAGTCAATGTTGCAGCATTTAAAAATAATAGGAGTGGTCGTTACAAAACGTAACTAGTTACTGAAACTATCTATTCACACAATAGCGGGTAGCGGGTTATTGCAGTGCAACGAAACTATCTATTACAGTAGACGTTTTACTCAGTAACACGATTCACGTTTCACGAGCGATCAGTAACAAAACGTTTATTCGGCTATTTTCGCGACGCATCGGCGACGGCTTCGGCTGTTGAAGTAGAAGAAGCACATGAGTAAAGAAACCTACTCTTCACGCTGTGGTAGAAGTACCACCGGTCGTCGAGTGTCGAGTGAGCGCGGGTGCTTTTGCATTTGACCTATGACTCTATTCCCTTCGTATAGATGCGATATTAGAAATGAGAAAGTAAGTGTGCATGTTTTTAACAAAAATAGTTCAAATTCCGTAATTTAAGTGGCCTTGGCCCGGTTTAAATTAGTCTTGTGTTTAAGTTTAATGACACGGTTGACAAATGACACGGTTTGTTTTTACTTTTTAGGCGCGTTTGTTAATATTTTTGTTTTCTTTTTTGTGCAATAATAATAATAATATTTTTAGAAAAGTAAGAACTCAATACAATTGTAAAGTATATATTAGTGTTAATAATAATAATTGTACAGTAATTAGTGTAAGTAACTAAGTGTAAAAGTAATACTAAAACTTTATGTGATAGTTATCAAAAATATATAACTTTATGTGATAATTATTTGCTATAAAATCAAACTTGTATTCAGTATTTTATGCTGAACTTGTGGGTGAATTTATCATAATCATAATTATTAAACAAATCGTTTGCCGTTAAATATTTTCAAGTGATATTTTTATCAAACCGTGCGAAATGATTTAACAAATAAATAAATTTAACCATTAACACCATGTCTAATTCTATATTTACATACACGAATGAAACGGTAACAAACAAGTTTTCTCGTGAAACGGACATCGTTTCATTCGCAACGTTTTTCAATTAAACACGTCGTGAAACACTATTGAAGCCGCTGTTAAAATATAGTGTTTTAAAACCCTCTATTAATAGATAGAGTATTTCAAAAGCCGCTATTCATATTCTATAGATAGTTTCGTTTCGTTACTCAAAAAAGCCGCTACTACCCACCGCTAAAAAATAATGACATAAAATATTGTTTATTGCTAGTATTCTTTTCGTAGACAGAGAAACCTATAGACTAACGATTAGCGTGGCCTAGAGTGAGAAAGGACGATAACGTAGTTTTAGGTTAATACAATGAACTTTATCACTTTTAAACATATTTAGATAAAATTTTTAATTGTTCTAAGATCTATACTTTGCTAAACAAAAAACTGGCACTGAGAAAGGGACAAACAATCACACCGTTCTGTCTCATTTCTATGTAAGACGTATGCATAACTCTATCTTTTTCGTGTACGAATGCGAAAGAAGGTGTCAATTTGTCTATAGATTTCTCTGTCAACGATTTTTTTAGCATAGATTATTAATCTCTTCATTATATTATATTATTTGTTTAATTAGTGATTATAATATTCTTTGCTCGTTAGCATGAGCTTGGCGATACTTTGCTCTACATGGTAAAAGTACTAGGAGTGGACGATACAAAACGTATATAGTTATTGAATTTATATATTGCTTCAATATCGTATATCCGATATCGGCCTAACCAAAAATTATATGTCGGACGAAACACTATATTGCTTGTGCCCGACAGCCGATCGCGATTTGCGACGATATTGTATCGCAGTGGTATCGAAATCCGAAGTCAAACCGTATATACAGTATCACGAATAAATACCGAGCAGACTCGATCGCCGCCTACAATCCACGTTAGATACGGTACCAAAGTAGAGGTGCGTGATTGATGAAACTGAAATAGCTACACAATGAATACAAAATGTTTATTCCGTAACAATAAATTTACAATCATAGCAGTATATTAGAGTTCTCCTTTTAAGTATTTTTAAATACTTGTGACAGGAAGACAGGAAAAACTCGCTCTTCCTTAATCAAATTACAATACGTTAGTTACAAGAATAGCATAACATTCCTTTCCTAAAATAATTGTGAACAAAATATGAAGATGTGTGCGCATGTTTGTATGCGTGTGCATGGTTGTGTGTATGTGTCTGTATGTATGTATGTATGTGTGTGTGTGTGTGTGTGTGTGTGTGTGTGTGTGTGTGTGTGTGTGTGTGTGTGTCTATGCGTGTATGTGTGTGCATGTGTCTATGCGTGTATGTGTGTGCATGTGTGTATGTGTATGAGTGTGTATGTGTGTGTATGTGTATGTATGTATGTATGTGTGTGTGTGTGTGTGTGTGTATGTATGTGTGCGTGTGTATGTGTGTGTGTGTGTGTGCGTGCGTGCGTGCGTGCGTGCGTGTGTGTGTGTGTGTGTGTGTGTGTGTGTGTGTGTGTGTGTAGTGTGTGTGTGTGTGTGTGTGCGTGCGTGCCTGCGTGCGTGCGTGCGTGCGTTGTAAGCCGTGTTATTTTAACAAATTTTCTATTTCATGATAATCTTTCCATTTAAGCCATTCAATGAGAATTATCTTACATTCTTTTAGAATTTGTTTCAGAATAAATATTCAATTCTTTATTTAAGTAAAGTATATAAATAAGAGGACTTTTTAGCCTGTTGCCGTCTAGCAAGTGCTGTTTTAACCGAATCACGTGGAGCTACGTTAGTTTTCCTCCTTTTATTTTCAATTTCAGGGTTATATGCATGGACTTATGTACCTTAAGAACTATATTTAATATGTATAACTTCCGAATTGTAAGAAGATCACACAGTGTGTATATATTTTGTGTTGTGAATTTGTAAGGCTTAAAATTCATAACCTTCAGTAATGATCTCTGAGCTCTTTCTAAATCTAAAAACTTTGTTTTTGTAGCACCTCCCCATATACTAATACAATATACCAGAACTGATTGAACTAAAGAAATATATACTTGTTATAATGTAAGTGGTGCTGCTAGATGTCTTAAAATTTTAAACAATCACTCTGCAAACTTTGCTAACCCCATTTCAGCGCTATGCCGGATGCCGGACATCTTCCCAGCTTAGACCACAGAATGCCAAAGCAGAGTCATCTGCATACGAGAACACGTGCCCATTTTGTAGCGACATATTACATAGGCAGTTTACGTAGGTAAACCAAAAATAGAGTCGCACTCAGTACACTCCCCTGACCGGACCGGACTACGGACCCTATTTTGACCCGTTGTCTACGGTTTGTTAAGTAATCTTTAAATAAATCTAGGGGCTTACCTCGTATGCCTATTTGTTCAAGTTTCTTTACAAGAGTGGGGACAGAGACACTATTAAAGGTTTTTTTATGTCGAGAAAAATTGTTAAATATTTATTTCCTTTGTCGACTTGGTCAATAATGAGTGACGTTAGTCCTAAAATAGCGTCTTCTGTGCAAAGACCTCGTCTGAAGCCAAATTGTGACATTGAGAGTATATTGTATTTATTTAAATAATTAGTTAAATGATTATTTAACAATTTTTCTAAAATTTTGGATATTGCGGGAAGAACAGATATAGGTCTGTAGTTACTTGGATCGCTTCTGTCTCCACCCTTGTATACAGGAGTAATTAATGCCAACTTCAGAGCAGTAGGAAAAATGCCATTCCTAAAGCAAAGATTAACCAGGTGTGTTATTATGGGTACTAAAATTGTATTTGCCTGTTTTAGAAACTTGGTGGTGATATTGTCATATCCAGGGACACCCTCTGTTTTAAGATTTATCAATATTAATACGATTCTAAACCTTAATTCTAATATTATACAAAGTATGTTTGAGGTTTCTCTTAGTATTTTGGCGCTATTGTTTTATAAAATTTCAACTTTTGACCTTAATCTAAGGATAGTAATGATGGCAATACAACTTGTATGTTGCAGCACGTATTAAAATTTGGCCTTAAACTGAAGAGCAAAGAAATTAGGAGCGAATATTTAAGTATTTTTGAAGAATTCTATTTTTCGTTTCACGTAGGTAAAACAATGGAGTGAGCGCATTTATTTGTTGCCGTCCGTAGTTTTGAAAGTTTTGAAAATAATAATTTGATTTTTTTAGAGTTTATTTGTGTTATTTCGGTATAAAACAATTTAATTTTGTGACTCACATTATAAGTATAACTAAATTTTGTGTGTAAGTACCTATTTTGTACTATAGTGCAGCAAGTACGTTTTAAACTTAAAAATTTTGTCGATTATAATAAATTGGTGAATGAGAAAATAATTTATGACACATTTATAAAGGTTTATTTATAAATGCGTAGTGTATGTTTGTGTGTAGTTACTGTATATGTATTAATTTTGTGAAATTAGGACTTTAAAATATCTCTCTTGTATAAAATACATAGTGCATACTCTAATTTTCATAATGGTACCTAGTCATTCTAAGTATCATATAGGGATACACTATATACTGTACATACGTAGCCGAGTATCGAGTCAGTATACCATTTTTCAAAAATCGTCGCGAAACTGGTATCAAATAACTGCATATACGGCATGATATTGTCAATATATAGTTTCAGAAAATATAGTGTTTCAAAATCCGATATCAAATATCAATGTATAGTTTAGATATGATATTCAGTCATTACGATATTAATCACTCCTAAAAATTATCTTCCGTATTTTTTTATTTCTAAAGTCCCATTCAACAGATCGCTATTTCGTATGCACGTTCGTCTACTGTAATTTAGGTTCGGGTAAAAATATCGAAATATATCGTCGATATTTTTAATTGCAATATATCGATATTCAATAATTATTTTTGAGAATATTAAGCAACAGCAGCAGCTACAAAAACGGATTCATATGATGTTGCTGTTTTTTCGTTGTCTAACCGTCCAGTTATAAAATTTTGGGTATTACCTTGCTACATGTGTACAACAATGACGATATAT